CAAAAATTTTTTTTTTGCTTCTCCCCCGTGTTTCCCCCCCCCCCCCCCCCCATTTTTTGCCCTTTTTTTTTTTTTTTTTTTTGTTCAAGTGGATGAGTAAATGAATCTCGGTCTTGCACTGCTGTGTAACCTGCTAATCAGGCCATTCACTGATTACACGCTTCATGCTAATCATGAATGCGTGTGTCTGTGTGCAGCGACTTTTTTTCTTTATTATTATTATTTTTTTCTAAAGCTTCTTTGCTGTGCTGGCTGCTCATTGTTCCAAAAATAATGCTGAACGTGACACACCTAACGTGAAAAATGTTTTGTACACTGATTCCCTGCTGCGCTCTTTGTTACCTGCATGGCTGCGTGTGGGGTTGTGCGCATCTGTATGTGCAAGAGGAGATAAAAGAGCGAGGGGGGAAGACGAGGATGCGAGTGGAGTGCAGAGCGTAGAGGGGGAACCAATTATCGTGCAGATAACAGAGAGGCTATGGATTTTCTACCATGCTTCTTCTGCAGCTCTTTTCGTTCGGCTGCTGTCACTCTGCCTGCGTCTACCTCGCCGTCCTTGTAGCATATTTAAATTGTAATTTACGGCGGCTTTATTGACTGGCAGAAAACCCCCAGGTATAGATTCTGTAATGTGTTGTCTTGTGTTTTCATTCAGGCTGTGTGTGCGAATTTTATTTACCGCCGCAGATGGTAGGTGGAAACGTGTCGGACACAGAGACATTTCGTCGATATGCCCCCTGCCTTTTTCTGTGTGTCATTGTGATTGACGGTCACATTGTCTGAGCTGCATCGTCATGCCATCCTTCTCCTTCGAACTTTAGTGTTTCCCCGATATTTTCCAGAATTGGCTACGGTAGCCAACTCTAAATACCATCGGTGAATATATCACATGGAATATATCACAGGGTTATACAGTCCCTCTAGGTTGTCGCAGTCATTGTTTTCGTGACTTTTGCGGCCTAAAATGACTGATTTTTCAAAAATGTTGCAGTCAAAGTTACAAACCTTATTTTTGCCATAACACAACCTTATAAAATAAGAGAAATTTCTTCACTCAACCTTACCAAAAAAGTTTGGTTTGTGACATAGTCAGTATTTAGTGGAAAAAAAAATTATGTTCAAGTACCTTCTTGAAACAGGCCTTTTAATACAAATACAATCAATCACAAAGTCACGGAGTCGTGAAAGTGCAAAAGAAGAATTCCACATTGGTTATTAAAGTTGACACAAATTTAGGGCTGGACAATAAATCAATAATAATATCACAATAAACATGTGACCAATAACAAATAATACAAATGGTTGGAATATTCAATGTATAGAATATTCACTGAACTCAAGCAACTCGCAGACTTTGGTTACCTAGCAACTCACACATGCTTTGGTTACCTAGCAACAACCTATTGAGTAACTGGCACAGCAGCAGTTTCAGGTTCCACCCACTGTGCCTCAAAACTGCTTAAAAATAAGAAAAAAAAAACAACAGCGTGGAGTGGAAACTGGATAAAACGGGGAAGGTCACGCCACCTGTTTATCAGTACTTTAGATATTTCAAACAAAAATCGAATAAGCTGGTATCAGTAGACCGATACCTCTTTCAGCCATATCGCCCAGCCAAAGACGATGTTCTGAAGGGGTGAGAGTCACAACAGAAAAATGTGAAAATCTGTATATTTTTACTATGATTAGCTGTTGTTTCACTGCTTGAAGATGTGTCTCTTAGCTAGACTTAAATGTTGACATGACGGCATAATAATTCAACAGTTAACTCGGCACCACTTTCTAACAGATTGACCTTTTACCAAGTGAGCTGTGTTGGGCTCCGGCAGCATAATGTAGCCCAATTAAGTAAGTGACTTTAAATTATTTATTACCCATCTATAAAGAAACATTTTCAGCTTAGTCACTCTCTGCTCCAACTTCACTTTTTTAAAGGGTTTTATTCAGACTTGCACTCAGCCTCTCCCCTCCAACTCTTCACTCCACAGTGTTGATGTTAGATGAAGCTGCCACTGGTGGCAGTTTAATGCATCAACATGAATGACGGTGATATTTCAGTGTATTTGGCTCACAGAGGAGCTGAAGAAGACCTGCCAGCCGCCTCATCAGTTAGAAAATCTTATCTTAGCCTTTTTATTCCTTCATCTAGCTTTACGTCTATCATTGTAGTCCGCATGAATAAACCGATGACAAATATAAATGAAGAGGTTTTATGAGGTAGTCGACAGGTAGGACACGGATCGCAGGCACTTTGTGTTTATCATTGTGTGGATGTGATCTCGCAGTCTTTTGCACATGCTACATCCTCAATATGGAGTGTGTTCGTTCATCATGAGCAAAGATAAGAACCCCGGACTGTTAAAGCCACAAATGTGGATCAATGAATATGAAGTGAATCAAATTTTTTATAATATTGAACATATGTAACCTATGTGCCATTTCCAAAGCAACAGGCTATTTTATATAACTCTCCAACTAGCTACCTCTAGCTGTTTCCAACGAGAGAGCTAGGTAGCTGTTTCTAAAGAGTAGCTAGCGAGCTCTAACAAAAGAGCAAGCTAAAGAGCTCTAACAAGAGAGCTAGTTCGCTAACTAGCTCTAACAACTAAGGTAGCTTGTTAGCTAGCTCTATCAAGAGATATAGCTAGCTAGTTAGTTCTAACAAGAGAGCTAGCTAAAGAGCTGTAACGAGAGGTAGCTCAGCAACTAGCTCTAACAACAAAGATAGCTCGCTAGCTAGCTCTAAAAAGAGATGGCTAGCTAGTTGACTCTAACAAGAGAGATAGCTTGCTAGTTAGCTCTAACCAGAGAGATAGCTAGTTAGTTGCCTCTAACAAGACAGATAGTAGTTTGTTGACTCTAACCAGAGAGGATAGCTAGTTAGCTCATGACATTGTTTAAACCAGTGTTTTTCAACCTTTTTTGAGCCAAGGTACACTGTTATAACTGAAAAAATCTTTAGGCACACCACCAATCAAAAATGTAAAGAAATATACTCTGTAGTCGCCTATATTACATATATAGCCATTCTTATCAAAGTGTCTTGAATAGAAATGTAATAAACACAAAAATGTATTTTTATCACATTTTACATTTCTTATTTCAAATTGCACGTAACATGTCCACTTCAAAAATACACCTGAACAGGGCCACAACAATGTGGTCTTAAATTTAAAGAAGTTCTATTAAACTTTAGCTGATTTTCTGGCAGAAATTGAAGAGAGACAATGACTAACCATGGTTTCGTTCACGCCGAGCTTAAGTACAGCGGCTCTATTTCTCTCCTGTAGTGGCAGCTCGACAGCCCTCAACTTAAAAGCTGCATCATACGAGTTTGAAAACATTTCTCCGTCGTGCCTGCTGCTAGCACGTGGTTGTTCTAAATGAAAATTAACGCGTTCTTCTTCGATTTACAATTTTGACTACTAATGATTCACTCCCTGCTAGAGAGCCCCCTGGTGGTTGAAGAAAAATACACAGAAAAGCCGCACCGGGCTACAATCCGCATGGTTCAAAGTTTAGGGGAAAAAAAAGTAGCAGCTTATAGTCCGGAAAATACGGTACCATGGGTGAAATTTAATAATTTCCACGGCACACCTGACGATCACTCACGGCACACTAATGTGCCGCGGAACAGTGGTTGAAAAACACTGGTTTAAACTACCCTGTTTTCACATCATTTGCATAAATTTTGATAGTTTCATTGAAATGTTGCCTTTTTTTCTGACTATAAGTTTTTTTCCCATGTTTGCAGCCCTAATCCTGATTCAGTTCTCACCTAACTTGTTTTTCTCTCAGTGCTTTAAATTAACAGCAGCAGCGTATCAGAGACAAATCAGTTACACATTTTGTTCTTCGAAAAAATTTGAAAATCTGTTGACAGACGCATAACTGTCAGTTTTGAATCAGTGTGAGGAAGATATTCTATGAATATATTAGGAATCATTTTCTTTCTGCAGCTGTCCATAATTATTCATGTGTTTTGCTTCTTCATTATGTTCTTTCCAACTGCTCGGATTACATTATAGTATGGAGTAGTTGCATTGATTTCAGGGATGAAAATACATTAAAGGATGGAGTAGCTGTCGCATATATTTAATTCAATTTGACTGCTTAATTTTTGTTATTTTTCAGAATTATTCAAGAATTCTCCTGTTTTTCTTTTGTTTCTTTTATTGATTAGAAGCAATCCAAGATGAGGAATACTTTAATTAAGCCCTGTCTGCTGAAGGGGCACATGTTGGTGTATTTTATACCATGGAAATAAGAACTTAAAAGATGAAAAGTGACTCTAAAATACACAATATGACTGGATTTTTTTCTGTTTTGCATGCACGCAGATAAAATTATGCAGAAATAAAAACAACCAGGGACCCAGGAGGGTTCATTCTTCAACTTTATGCAGCAAAGTACTTATAAAGAGTTTTCTCCTGTTGATTTGCTGGTATTTGGTTTATATATCCCAAGAACCTGGAGAGGAATTCTGTTTTTTACACAAATAAGAGTTTGTTTGTGTCTTTGTTGAGAGGGCTTAGGAAGAGCTCTGTTTGGTATTGCTTTTTTAAAAGTCTAACGTGCTCTGTGTGAACTCCAGACGGTCCCCAGTGTCTGACTGGGCTGCAAATAGCTATGGGAAAAAAATCAGAGAGGAACACTCTCACAAAGACACAAAGATGCTATTTGGGTGTTTTTCATTTAGTATTCAGAGATCTGGTCTCTCTGTCCTCATCCTCACAAAGCAGGTCTTTCCTCGTCAGTGTTTGGGAATAATTAAGTGGCTCCACTTTCACTTTGTCTGAGGTTCTGATGGAAATTTTAAAAAAGACTGGTGCTTTGTTTTCTGGTTCCGTTGTGTGTGTGTAATGGTGACTTTTTGTTGTAAATTGCTCACATTTTTAGGGTGAATTAAACTTTACAATGAGACTGGTAATAAACACAGTTGAACTTTTTATTATCTGTCGGCTCCAGCTAATGACTGAAGTATTGACAGTCAGAACGTAGAATAACAAAGTTCCTGTAATCAGATTTAAACCATTTTATCATCTCAGTACCTGCCTGCCAATTACAGTATTGTTTAGCACACTGGAAACTTAAACAGCTTGTCTGCTCCGTCTTCAAATACTCCTTTCATGTACCAATTAGAAAAGTATGCAGGAAAGAGTGGGAGGTAATGAGAGCTCAGAGTTTGACATTTTGCCAAGCGGCAGATTAAAAGTCTCAAATATTTGTAGACATCAGGTGTAGATTAATTACTGGTGCATTTATTTTAAAAGAATTATTCAGTAGTTATGATAAAAGAAGCAGACATCGCTCCTTATACGGCAAGTTATGACTGTTCTTAATCCAGTGGCCTTTTCAGGTATGTCATATGTAACGATAATGGCTTCATCAGTCTTATAAAACGACAGCAAGCTTTCAGAAATAGGTCACTTTAATAAGCACGCTCCCTGTGGCTCACTGTTTCAATGTCACAGTGACGATTTAGGCGGAATAAGTTCATGCAGGTTGTGTAAGACATGCCTCAGTGAGGAGAGCTGTCAAAACCAGAAATTTGAAAGTATAATTCGGATACACAGTGGAGACAGTCACAAGATTTAAAAATATAGCATTTTAGTATATTATTAACGGGGTTTCCCCGGGTGTATTATAAGTCTGGCGGGCCATCAGGCTTTACTTGTGCCCCCACCAGGCTTAGCATTGGTCATTTAAGTTTCTTTTTTAATGTTTGCTTTTTTTTATGACTTTATACTTGGTGTTCAGGTATTAATCTTCCAATAATGCATAATTACCAAATGATATTTTCAAATTTCCTGTCAACTTTAAACATTTTTTTAACTCCAAAACTGCTGGATGAATGATTAAGTAATCCAACCACCAAGCTTAGCAAGTTTTCTAGGGGAAACCTTGAGCAGGTATAAATTTCCGCCTCTACATATATAAGGGAAACATAGACAGACTCCACAAAAGGCAGAAATGCCTGCACATTCTTCATATTTTATAAAATTTAAAAAATTGTATCATTTTCTCCACTTGTCTAATTCTGATTGCTTAATTAGTCCAAGTTTGCTGTTTAGAGCTCATCTAAATTCCCTGAACTAGGTTGTTTGGATAAATATTGCCCCCGTTAACCAATAATTGCACTAAGCAATGTGCCTGTTTGTATAAGGATTATTCTCTCTAGAAGAGTTCTTTATCACCCAAAGATGTCTCTTCCGAGGGTTTTTCTTACTTTTACCGTTGCATTATGTGGGGAAAGCGATCCGTTTCTCTTTATCTGGTTTCACGCTTCCATTATTGACTCAAGGTGAGAAGATATGAGTTGAATATTTAGCTTCAGTCGGCTTAAAGAACAGTGAAGGAGAGCATGGAGAGATGTCAGTCGTTCACTTCTAAGTTGAAGTTTCTGCTGCAGATCGCTGTTTCGCCGCCGTCGCAGACATTCAGACGGTGACTGACATCCCAGCCAGTTTTCACAAATGAATCAAGCTTCTCACAAATGATCTGTCACTCCTTCGCTCCGTCTCTCTCTCTCTCCCCCCGCCCCCACCCACGGGCATTCTTCATACCACGGCGGCATTTTTTCGCTGCAGCACGCGAGGTCACACACCCACAAACGCGCACATTGCGACTGTCATGAGCCACCTCCTCTCAGCGGGAGCAGTCGGCCTGGATCTCGGCGCTCTGCCTCCTGAGGCGTCTCCCTGGGCCAGGGAGCATCTGACCGTCTGTTGCTGTCATGGAAATCGTTTGTCGGGGACAGAAGTGGGCGCCAGCAGGTGTCAGCAGGTGGGCCTCGCCTGATCGCACACTTGCAGGAGATCTGCTCACGTGTGGTTTCCTCTGACCAGCAGCCCAAGGCACCAGATGACCCTTTAACTGAGATTCTTGCCATATTATAAAATGGAAACTAATCTTAAAGGGGACATGTTATGCAAAACTCACATTTTGAATATTTTTATACTTCTCCTTGGCTTTAAACTGATCTAAAAACGGCCCAAGCACTTTAAAAAAACAAAACAAAACGAAAAGAAAACGCCCAATTAGTTTTTGGCAGTAAATGTTTTTAGGTGTCTGGTCTGCAAAATGAGTCATTTCAAAACTTTTGAATGTTGCGTCACAAATCAGCAGGCACTGCCCGTCACCTAGCAACCCCAGCCAAGCCCAGCCCGTCACCTAGCAACCACAGTGGAGCTCCAGTACTACAGGAAACTCCTGTACAACTTCTGTTTTTCAAAATATGTATTGCTGTACAGCAATACATACAGTTAGCTAACGCATCATCATGATTATGATGATGATGAGGAGGAGGAATATTGGTTATAGTATAAGAAAATCAGTGGATTCTTGGCTTAAACAGAACATCAATGATTAAAATGGCTTTGCAGTTTAATGGTGGAAACATACCAACATGAAATGACTCACCGAGCTCTATTTTTAACTTGATCATTTTTGGATAAGTTTCCATGTCTAATAATACTTTAGAGAACTGAGAAACATTTTAACAACAATAAATTAAAGTAAGAGAATGATTCTATGTAGGACTTAAAAGGTCCAGAGTTTAACTATTTCAATATCAAAGAGGTAGCAGCAAACACTTAGCCGTCATTTTTGACAAATGATGGTAAAAACAACAAAATGCAGAGGAGAAAGTCAGGAGTACTTACTCTTGTAAAGAAAAATAGAGTATCCAAATTTAATGCTCTCCTTTTCTGGGTCTGTGCAGCAAAGACGTACAGTAGCTCTGTGCCAGAAATACCTTCAGCGGGGAATAAAGTAACTTTAAGAGCAGCAATAACTCTGTTAGTGGGCCTTCTGCAGGAATAAAAATACAGGGAGAGAACAACAAAAAGCAAAGGTCAGCCTTATAAAACGATCTGTTCCTAATTACCTTTCAATTATGCTTCAAGAGTAGATGGTCTCTCATATAGATAAACAGATTGGTTTTAAGTGTAAACTTAACTTTTGTTCTCTCCAGTTCCTAGCTGTAAGGCTTTTAACTAAGAAAGAGTTGGCAAAACTCTGGTGAGAAAATTAGGAATTATGTTCAGAAGTTGATATTTATGTGTTTTGAAGCAGCTGATGTTGAATCTCCAACATGAAGGTCACAGGTTTTGCACTATCCCTGGTTTTAAAATCCAATATGGCTGCCTTATTCAAAAAAATTAGTATATGCCACTGGTTTAGAGACCTAAAACTGGAACTGGTTACATCTCCCTGATGATTTCCCATTGTATAGGTCTGTTTAAATGTAATTCGAAAGAAACTAAACCAGTTGAAAAGCAAAAGTATTGAATGTTTTTTCCAAATTATATGTCTAGACATAAAAGGTTTTTGACAGTATTTTAGTTACAGAATTATAAAAGTAAAAGTAAATGTTGGTTTTTGCAGTTCTTCAGTATGTTTGTATGCAATATTTGCTTAGAATATATACAACAGAATTTGTTTCTTAGTTTCAAACGACCTGCTTTATACTTTTAACTGGACTAATTATCCATATTTTTCCAAATGAAAAGGCTTACTCCATCTTTGTAAAAGTTATATTAATTTTATTCTAAAATCTGGACATAGAAAAACATTTTGGTTCAGTTTTATTTGGTGTATATTTATCGGATCTATCTTTTGATGCAGAACCAGACAAATTTTATTTTGTAGCAATGCTGGAAAAAGTGTCTCTTTGAATTGGAAAAGTTGCTGACCCCTGATATCAGCTCTGCCTTTTACGGCCGATTGATGCTGCCAAGGTTTATTTTTAAAGGTGTAAGAAAAAAAAAATCCAACATGAATTTGTATTGATCGGGTAAATTGTGTTTTAGGACCTCGCTTGGCCTCTTTTAAGATTTTACTTTTTTTTTTTTTTCAAATCTGTGGTTATTTTGTGCAAAGAAAACAAACTAATGAATCTCCTGGCTCTCGCTTGCAGTCTGTCAGGTCTTGTGTGCGGTGCGGCTCTTTGACTTGCCCTGATCGATGCTCTTCTCCTTGAATCTCCTTCCAGCTTTGGAGAGGGCAATAGCTGCCCAGAAGTTGTGACCTCTTTAATGAGCAGCTAATTTATTTATGTGGGTTAGACGGTGATGCTGAGACAACGGCAGGCCGCTTGTTTGGCGGACAATAAGGTTGTCTGACATTTGTTTTAATTTTAATATGTAAAGCACTTTGAAATGCCTTGCTGCTGAAATGTGCTATACAAATAAAATTTGATTGATTGATTAAACAAATTAAAATTTTGGATATTAAAAAGAAAAATCAAAATTTGACTAAGATTTTGAGATTGTTTTACACACTGGTATCAGTTGACAGATAATTTTGCTACTTTTAGTGCTGGTAACATAATAAAAATCTGTCATGTTGGAAAACATCTCCTAATTATGATTTCTCTGCTGGTTCCCTGTGTTTGTTTTGAGTTATGATTAACTTAAATGATTTTTTAGACTTTTAACCCCAGTTGTAGTTAATAAGGTAATTGGTTTATTGAAAGTAGCCTGTTAGATAATTGGTATTGGACAGGTTTTTGATTTTTGATCTCAGAAAAACTGAAATGTAATCTATCTTTTTCCCCTTATTTTTGTCATTGAAATAAATCAGAAATATCCCCAACTTTTCTGTTAAACCAGAAACAATTTGGTTTTCTTTGGTTTTAAGTCACCAATTGTAGTTTTAAGCTTTTCTTTTAATCCAAATAAAAGTTGGGCCTCTCTTCTTTCATGGTACTATTATTCTCTCAGTTGTACGTTTTTGCTTTAACATATTTTCTACTCCAGCGATGGATTAAACTACAGATTAACGTCAATTGAAACTAATGGTAAAAATGTCTCAATTCATCTAGATTTGCTGTTTTGCGTCAAGGATTTTGTTTATCTTTACATACAAAAAGGCAAGTTGTGTGCAGGAGAAGAGAATGCTTCCTTCACACGTCTCCCACATACCAAAGGGCGCTCCTTGTCCTCCTACTGCGCTGATGGACACGTGGGAGTAGAATCGGCGCTCCGCTCAGGGTTTGATCGATCTGCAATGGAGGAGTCCTCTTTGGCAGCTCTTCTTGTTGATTATGAATCATCTGGGTAACAGTTGTGCTCAGAGAAATGGAACATGGAGTTTTCCTCCCTTTTCTCTTTCGGGTCCTCGCTGTTATGCAGGATATGAATAATTGCTCCGCTGGCTGGCACAATAGCAGCTCAACTCGGCTAATAATTTGGGTGACAAAGGAGGCGATAACAACTGTAATTTCTCCATTCTACCCCATTATATTTCACAATGAGGTGGAGTTGAGAGGATCATTCAGGCGCTGGAGATAAAATGAGAATTGGCTGTGAATGAATGATTATTTGTCTAATTGGACAAAAGAGATGCCTCCATGCGGAGAAAAGATGGCTGAACAATGACTTTGTAACTGTCAGCATGGGAGTTAGCCTCGAGATTAGCATTCTTTACTTCCTCAGCAGTCTTTTCCTTGCACATGAGCTGCTGCACTTGTAAAGAAACTTCTCTGTAGTGAAAGCAAACTAAAACTTCTAGAGTTTTTTGGATCTTATCTGATTTGTTGTAGTTTGCTGCTAGAGGGACTGGTGCACTTACACCAAATCGATGGCATCTTTGGAAAAGAATCCTATGTGAAAACACTGGAAGAGCTCAAAACATCAACCAGGAAGTTAAACCTGACCAACCTGACAATTGCAGTTACGCTACGTCGAAATTACCGTAATAACCCGATATTGGCTGGGAAGCGCAACGTCTCCCCTTTCAGAAACTGTTGGAATTTTTCAGATAGGAATTACGGTACTGCAAATTTGGCTGGATTGTCGCCGATGCGTTCGGCCTGGAAGGGTTAGTGAAAGTAAAATGGTGATTGGGACAAATCTGTAAAGATTGCACAAATTTATTGAACCAAATTTAAATTTATCGACTCGATGTGGGACACGTTACTTTATGCTGCCTGCTATCTGTCACCTTCAAAGCGTTTCCTCTCAGCATCTGTTTGGTTCTGATAACCGGTTTCCCCATCAACAAAGCACTCCCCTTCGCAGAGGGGACGCCACACATTTAATTTAAATAAGAAAACTTGCGGGCTTGCAAGGTTTGTTGCTTGTGGGATCCAGTGAACGTTCGCCTGCTCAGTGAAGGCCGGTGAGTTAGTCACCATACAGGTCAACCTGCAGTGGGAGTCAGAAAGGAAGAGGAGGAGATGAGCTGAAAGGAGAGAGAAACAATCCTACTTTGATTTATTGTTCCACTAAAAAAGATCCACCCACTTCCAGAGATGCACCGATTACAGATTAATGGTCAATTTCTATTTTAATGACTGTAAGACGCACTAGTCTTCACATGCATTATTTCGTAAATCAGCAGTCAATGTATAACTTAAACAATAGTCACTTTGTGAATTAACTAGAAAATTGATGTTTCTGACCTTGAAGATTCCCATTGAGCTGCCAACACGACCTGATCTAATATGTTGAAAAGGATGAACAGTAACTTTGCGTTCAGCCTTCCTGTTATCCTCTCGGTTTTACTCTTTTAAGTGCTTTTGTTTGAGCAGATGTCTAAGAAAAAAAGTTTTCTCATCTTCTGGCTTTAGTGGCATTAAAAATAGCTTATTTTCAGTTTTCTTTAGTCAGTAACAGCATCCACACCAAAGAGTGTTAACAGTTTAGCTTATTCATTCATTGATTAGAAAAAATATTAGATATTTTTTATAGTTTCCAACCAGTGGATCATTGGTCAGCACTAAGTAGAAAATCTTAACCAGTTAGTTGTTATGCAGCTCATTATGATTTCTTCACCAAAAAGACATAAAATTTCAGTTTCATCTATTTTTATTGGTGGTTCTTTTCCCCTCAGGGTTCCCAGTGCCAGTTCTCCTGTTCTGCCATCTGTGTATATTTTGGATTTTTTTTTTTTAAGGCATTCCTTGCCTGATTGATGATTTTTCTCTCTACGTTTCCATCTCACTTTAGAATTGGACGTGTTTGCTCCAACTTTGGTTGTTTTTTAAAGCTGTAATGTCCGAATCGGCAGACATTCATGAAGGAAATTCAAGAATGTCTGTCCTTTAGTTGGACTGCAGAGCCATTGGGAGTTCTAGTTAAGCGATACCATCCGTCTTCACTGCTTGGCACTCACGTGGGTCTTGCTGAGTCACATATTCCTGGACTCTGGAGTGTGTATATATATATGTGTGTGTGGTAGAGTGCATGCAGATGGGTGTGTGTATATATCTCATTCTTTCTGCCTGAAAGATCTTTGGCATCGGCCGGGACTTCCTGGCCGGTTCTGAGCCTGGCACATGGACATGTTGGGCTGCCGGTTTCATCTCCCAGACAACGTGAGGGGATGAAGGAGACGGGTCAGAGGGATCGGGCATGGAGAGGTGGAGAGGGGCATGTGAATGTGTTGATGGAAAGAATCGCGAAAGAACAGAGGGACTGTCTTGTACTCCGAAGTTTTAAAAAGTATTTGAAAAACATGGATTCCCAGTTTTAAGTTTTAGTCTAGTTGAAACCACCATTTATCCCTAAAAAAATAATGAAAAAGTTTATGATGTGCAGCTTAGTTCTGTGAATCGGGGTTTAGAAAATGTCAGCTTTTTCTCTTTCACAACTTTTGAGTTGCCAGCATTAAACCAAAACATCAAGATTTCTCCTGGTGCATTGTAAATCTCAGAGGGGAAAACATGTTTATAAAAACAAAACCTTTTTAGACTTCCATTAAGCTCTCACTTTTACACTAAATGGTGGGAGAAGTTATCACTTAACACTCGTAGGATGCCTTTTAACTTGAAAATGCTCCTTGAACTTGAGGGCTGAATAAGATCATCCCTTTCTTGCAAAAATATAATTTAAAAATGTCAATTTCCTGTTTGGCAAAACAGTAGACAAGATAACAAAGTGTTAATTTTACAGTGTTATTTTGTCGTAAATTTGCTTTTTACTGTACAGTCTTTCACTTTTGCTGGTTAATATATAGAAAGTGCAAGTTGGTTTATTAGAATATGATGGAACACAATCTTTTTGTTGCAGAGATATGAGGAAATTTGTTTGATTGTGCAGCTTTTCTACGACCTGGTGTTAAATTTCATGGTGACATTGCAGTTTTCAGGGCATGTTCTTGTCCTTCAGAGTGCAGGTCTGTGTCCACTGCTCACGTTAAATGACCTGAAGCTGTAAAGCAGACGAACACAACCCATTTATTTTTGCTTTAACCAACAAACATTTCCTCAGACATCTCACATTCACCCTGGGTAGCATATTCCCTGTTTGAAAACCAAGAGGAATCTAATTCATGCAGCCGAGTTCTGCTATCACAAACATGCAGCAAACGGAAGAGTGCTATGCGATCTTGAGAAAGGAGCGCCGACCTTCGCCTCTTCATGACTCACCAGTTGGGGGTATGTTGGCACCAAATTGTGTCGAGCCGCTTTGAATAGCAAATTTTTGACTCAGCATACACCTCGAAATACCAACACGGTCACCCTGGTGTCATCTGAATCTTTTTTTTCTTCACGCAGTACTTTCAACTACATTATATGGATTTGTCGTTCAACAGAAATGTTTTAGGTTTTTAGATGCCGTCTAATACAAAGTTTTAGTTTAGTCCGCTTTAGTCAAACTCTAGTTCGTTTGTTGAGAACGTCCGGTTCGTTTGGGGAGGTTTGAATCCGTAAAACCTAAGTTTCGGTTCAGTTGAAGCGAACTCCAGCACCACTTGAATGCAAGCTGACCAGAGACCGTTCCAAAAGCAGGAAGTGGAATACAGAGAATGGCATTCTGGGTAAATAACACCAAAACAAACACGTGAGTCTAGTACTAGCGGGAGAAAGGACTCATCTCTGTAGATCACTAGAGATTAAAATTTATTTCACTTTTCAAACTTTGGTTTAAATCTGAAGTCTTTCTCGTCAATTCAAACAAAAATGGAGAGTTTATATTGTTTTTGTGTTGAACCTTTAATGGTAGACCCTGCAGACTTGACATTACGAATCGTCACTGTGGAGGAGAGGATATCTAAGCATCCTCAGATTTATCGGTGAAATTCGTGCAGTTTCCTTTTTCCCTCTGCATAACACCGTTCGCTCGTCGTCTCCTGAGCTGCATATAAAATAGGTAATGCTGTATATTCAGTGGAAGTACAGTATTCACGTGTGTGCATGCATTTTTCATGATCACACTTTGTATGTGTGGAGAAATCGGCGTGCTGCTGTGTGGAGGAGGGACACCTGGGATGGAAATCTCTCTCTGTGTGTGTTTCGATCTCTCTGTTGTTAATTGAAAGGGCAGCGAACTGACGAAGAGTTGGACGGCCTGCAGGGCCACAGAAAATCCAGAGGGAGGATGATGGCGGGAGTTAACTGAGAAAGGAAGTGGGGATAGTTTGAGCTGAGGTAGTGATGGGGGAAGAAGTGGATGAAGAGAGAAACATGCGAAAGATTCTCCTTTAAAACCCAAATGATAGTTAAAATATCTGAATCTAAAACAGAACAAATTGAATCTGTAGCTCTGACATTATAGGTTGAGAGGAACCTTTAATTGTGTCTGAGTGGAGTTTATGCGTTAACTATGCCAAATCAAACTTTGCAACTATTAACTTGGATAAAACAAAAACACACAGTGTAGCTGTTGGCAGCTGTTGTACCCTTTTTGTTGCTTTTGCAAGTTAAAGATCAAGAAAAAGCATTAAAAACAGAATGAAGGACATTAAATCTACATTGTTTCTTTTGCAGATATTTCCCTGCTTTGATTTAATTATTTTTCACAATTAGAGCCTAACTAGTCAGAAGAAGATCCAAATCCTCTGCTATGTCAGCCGTTTCAAGCATTTGGCATGCTGAGGTGAATGCATCTTTATTTGTGCAGACAGAACGTATGCATAGCGATGAAGTATTTATTGTGTAGAAAGGTGTTGCTGAAGTATTTGTGTGTGTGTGTGTGTATATATATATAACATATCTTACTGCTAACACAAGGCAAAGAGAAGCAAGACGATCTTTCTTTAACAATTTCTTTGACTTTTTACAAACTTGGTTTTCAATACATCTCACATCTATAACTAACACATTTTTAAAGACTCACTCCAAACAAATTCTATTTAAGCATCCAAAGTCACAAAAACAAAAACAGGAAGTTTTGCTCCGTTTAAGCAAATTATAAAAAAAAAAAAATATATGGAATGACTTAAAACGTTTGAACAGTTTACGTTTAAGAAAAAAATGTATGTTGAATTTATTAACAGATTTGAGCTTTTGATTATTGTGGCGCTGTTTGAAGACAGAAAAGATTACATAAAGACGCTGCGATGTGGTGCGTTTTTTCTTTTCATGCTGCGCATTTATTCAGACTGCATTAGAGAACAGCAGCTGCCAGCATGAATGGGCTTTCTGTGGAAGTTGTTTGCAGGGTTAAAGACGATCTCTGAAGCTCAGAACATGGAGGCAGCTGGCGTCTGAAGTGCATTTCTTGTCTTCAGTGATTGCTCACAAACACTGAAGTAGTGCTCTTAAAACAACTCTTTTGCATTTCAAGTTTTTTTAACTTCTTTTTTTTTCCCGTTTGCAACACCTGAAGAGCTGAAACTGCTGCTGGAGAAACAGGGCTGTAATCAAGGCCAGGGCAGGTCAGCTGGTGGGACTCAATTGGACCTTTGTCTTTGGGTGCATTTAAGTTTAAAATTAGCCTGTTTACGTGATTTGCAGCATTCCTGGAGGCATAAACTGCGCCGCATGACAGAAGGGGACGTCTCAGGGCGGAGCGGAGCTGTGGGGGGAAACAATCAGGACTAAATGTTTTGTAGATTCACTTTCTGCTGATTCATAGAAGAAAATTATGATTTTTTTTATTGAATTGGTGCATTCTTAGCTAAATTCAGCATAACAAATTTATCAAACAGGATAATGGTTTGTCTTACTGAGCATCTTTACATTTGTCAGAATAAAAAAAAAAGTTTTAAGGCTTACTCACCCGCAAAATTGTTGAATCTTTTATTATTATAACTATTTCTTAGCATCTTTTAGCAAAACAAATCGTCATTCAGGCTTTGTTTAAAAACAAAAAATAATGAGATGACCCCAGTTTTTTGTTTTGACAAGAATAAAATGATAGTAATAAACTGTGTTACTCTGTTTCTATGATGCAGTTTGTTTACTAATGTTCTCCAACACAAATCAAGTGGAGTCTGTTTGGTAATTAGGTGATTTCTAATGATAATCGGTTTTATTTTGGGTATCAGAGTAAAATGGGGGGGGATACAGTAGCATAGTACGCCTTTTGGATTTTTATTTGGTAAAGTTTAATGTGAAAACTTGAAGGGATTCAAGGCCTGAAGTTAAAAATCCCTAGATTACATGCAGTGATGCAACAACATAATCCAGTTGAAGCAGAAAGTGATGTGATTTAACTCGGTATTAAAGTTGAACCTTAATGTAATTTCCTTATTATGATGGTTCAGGTTCTTTTTGAAAAAATAAAAAGATGTCTAGAGTAGCTTTTCCGGATTGGCAAACTGAGCTCTAAACTTCTAAAGCTGAATATTTTAATATAACGTTGCATAAAGGGCAGAAGGTGGCAGGAAGTCAGTGAATATTAAATCAGACAGATCAGCCGCAATGATTAGAAGTTTTCAGTTTTAAAAAAAAAAAAGCAAATAGGAAGTGACAAATTCATGCCAAGCAGCAGTTCCTGTCTACTGAAGCATCTTCTCTGCATATCAGCCGTAGTAGTTCTAACTTTTCATTTAGGAGAGCATCACTGTGGGAGTTTCCCACGCTAACTGGGGCTGCGTGGGCATTTCCCATAACGTAGCCGAGTCTGTGGGTGTGTTTAAACCAGACAGAGGTTAAAAAAACATGAGAAGAGACGTGCAAATTGTTTAAAAAGACATTTCTTTTGGGGTTTTCTCTTCATGCACGGCTGATTTTCTCTCGGTCTGATGAAAACATCCAGCTCTGCGCATGCAGAGCGCCCAGTAAATACCTTTTAGGCCTTGTACATCTCTCCTATCAGAATCTACTGACGCCCAGGGACTGATATCCGCTACAGAAATATGATCCTTCATCTTGTCTTTCTTACATAACTGTCTGCAGACACCCGCAGTCGTAACGCAGAGGAGCTGCTTCGGTTTTACGCTCTAGAAATCACTTATTGAGGTTGTTGGATGTTTATGAGCCCTAAACATTCAGCGTTTTGCAGGATACACTTCTCCACATGCTCCCTGTGTTGGCCATGTATTTATAGCACGTGTAAAAACTGCAGGGCCGTTTGCATGTATAATAACACAGCGTGCTCACGCTGAGTGCGCGCTGTCTCCAGTCTGCGTCGGTGCGGCTGGCCGTAGATTTATACGGTGGCCTGTAATTGCCCCTTGTTTGCCTGCACCTTTTTTTGGAGGCGTCTCGCTCTCTGTAAGCGGGGAGATTAGTTAAATGACAAAGCGTTTCCTGCGCGCACCCGCTCGACGCCTCGCACGCAGTTGTGTGAGACCAAAAAGCGATCATTACGTCCTTGTTTTCCCTCTTGAGCCGGTCCCGGGCTCTAAATTACACCGTGCGCCGTTCCAGCATTGTGTCTGAGAGAGGGACCGGGGTTACAGGGAGCTTTGTGTGAGTTGCAGCAGAGCCGTATGTTTCCTCTGTGCAGGTGGGTTAAGTCCAACTGAACTTTAACTGTTTTCAGATAAATTTCTTCCTTTGCACACATGTGCTGCTCGTTTTTTTTATACAAAATTTTTGGCATTCC